GCACTTCTCAGAAGATATTTACAGTTTCAAGGTCAACAACTAACTGGCTGATAGGGCTACATCAATTAATATGGTTAGAATTTATTGCATTATTTCAGGGAACATAAAAAAAAAGTGGAGTGGTTTCATTTCAGGAAGAGAGAATCAAAGTGTAAGTTTCAAGTAAAAACTAAGATTGTAGTGTATACAGGCATAAAATGTGATAGTCTTGCATTATCTTTTTGGAAGAATTTCTGAGAAAGGCTGAATAAAGTTTAGAACAAAAGAACAAAACTCTCATTTGGCTTTTGCTTTAATGTAGTCCTAAGGAAACAGAGACTTGACTTTTTGCTGTGCAACAATCATAGTAACGGTTCATGCCTTCCAGCCGTATGGGTACTTGCAGTTTCTAAAACAGCAGCTGCAAGAGCAGGAGTCTTTCTCTTTGTGAAGAAAGCAGTAATGTTGTCTGTTGCCTTGCTGGAGGCTAGCGCAGACATTTTGTACCTTCACTTTGAGAGGAGATGTAACATAAAAGAAAAAAAAATAACAGCACAGAAGTCGATTTATATCCCAGAAGATTCCAAATTGGACATAAAATTTGTACTTACAATAGGCTGATAATAGAAGATTCCTGGATTCTGTAGATAATAATGGAGGCTGGAAGGAATGTAATTGGTTTATCAGTATCAACAGACTGAAGAAATATATTTTCATCCTCTTCTTTTGCATTCATGCCTGATGATCAGTTTCTCAGTGTGATTTCTGATGCCAAGAATCCAGGTCATTCTGTCTTAGGTGAGGACGATCTTCTCCTTTGTGCTCCTTTTCAAGTCACTCACTGCAACTCTGCCATCATCACAGGGACAGTTTCTGCATGTAGTTAGGCCATTAGTTGAATTTGTTACTTCAGGAAAGAAAAAAAAGTTGCTAGAAATGTGCAGAGTCCATATGTAAGCAGACAGAAAATGGACCTAACATCACTTCTTCATTTGTAGCTGTTACCTCTTGAGTTCCCTGAGCCTGATCTTGAGTCTGAAAAGCAACTAACGGCTTTGAGCACTTTAATGGAACATTGGCAGAACAGGAAGAGTTTGGGGTTATGCATATTCTCAGCACATCACAGTCTGCAGCCCTTTGTGCTGCTATAAATGTTAAGTGACTTGAATGTAGGTAGCAGAGTTTGTCTAGATTTATATCCATGAAGCAGTGAGATTTGTTGTAGCCTGTAGATTATCTTCCTTTTACCTGAATTCACTGCAGCTCTTGGACCCCAGTTAACTGTAACATTTCTTAGAGTTACAAGTCTCTATGATAATTCTGTACTTTTACCTTTGGACTAAGATATGTCATTATGAATTATGCAGACAAAAAATGTCTGTCACTCCACCTACATAGGACATTTTCTGGATATATGCAGATTAGCCTGTCGAATTACTCAGATTCCTGTTAAACTGTGATAGTTTACTTCATTTGCTGCAGCCCATGAATATGAAAGGGTAAAGTTGTGTCGGGTTTGACTTCTGCTTTCCTGACTTTTTTGACTTTGAGGTAGACATTTAGTGCTTCTCAGTATCTTATCTGAAGACTGCCGTGGGAGATGTTCTCTTTAGCTCTTTCTTCCTATATTGAATCTCCATTACGCTAACAACAACAAATATCTTTTTTACACTCACACAGCATTTTTCAGAGCATCACAAAATGCTGAATGGACCTCATATCACTTTAATTTGTCAGCCCTGGATATATAGCTCCCTCATATTTATCACAGATATCCTTACTTTTGAGTAAAAGAGGAGAATGGCAGAAATATCTGTTTATTTGGGAAATGCTGATATATTAAAATGGAAGTGACTGTAAACTGCTTTTCTAGAGCTACCTATTAAATATCTATTTTTAAGAAATAAAATTCTGCAGTGTGCTTCAGGATAGGAGTTGAGTGTTATCTACCTTTCAAAAATAAATTTTGGGGACAAAACATTGATATAACCAATCTTTCTTATATTAGTAGATAAGTTCTTCAGAAATAGCTGAATACAGATTTCCCAATGATTTTGCAGTGTTCTGTTTCCCTCTGTTGTAAATGTATTTCACGATAGTCTGTGAGCATGGCAGTAAAATTTATTGCTAATAACCGTGCACCAGTTCTCTAATATTGGAGAATATTTGATACAATTGCCTGTGGTTAATAGTACTTCTCTCCTCAAACAGTATTGCTGAAGTCAAAGTATTACTCAACATGAACAAACACATTGCAATCACCCCCTATGTCTTTCAAATACAAACATGGTTAATAATGGTAAATTTGTATTCAACCATGTTTCTGTGTTCTAGGCTGGATGGACACATTGCTTATGTGTAATGTAATCACACAGAAGTCTTGTACATGCATATATAGTTAGCACAATGTTGAAGAAGGGAAGAGTTTCTCATTTGCCAGTTTAAGTAGACTGTTGATTCAATATCATAAAGACTACTGTTATGACACCTCCTTTCTGCTTTTCTGAGGCCACGCAACTGATGTCTCTCCTTCTTCAGTTGAAGTTGCTCCTCAAAGTTACAAAGAGCTAAAAACCCCCTGCCATGTGCTCCTGTGGGTATTTTTATCAGTGTAGAGTGAGCGTAAAATGGAGTGAAAAACCAAACCACACCACAGATGGAAAATCAGGCCCTGATTTTCTCAAGTAAAGGGAAGTAAATCTTGGTTCTCAAGAAATAAACTGATGTTCATCAAAAATATCGACAGTAATTACTGTGTAGCAAGTGACTGTTAAAATGAAATTAAGCCTAATATGGATTCCTGGTACACTCTTTGTTCCTTCAGTACATGAGTTTCACCTCTTAGGAATACAGCATTAGTCTGTGCTTCATCATAAAATAAATGAATTAAAAAACTAAATTATATTTTAATCTGTTTAATTTTTAAATAATTTATGGTTGGGATTGGAATTGTCTATATCTTCAGTAATTTTTGCTTTAGGAAAAAACTAGAGGTTACGTTTCTGTAGGGTTTGGGGTTTTTTTGTTTGGTTGGGTTTGGTGTTTTGTTTTTTGTTTTGGTTTTTTTTTTTTTTTTTTTTTTACAGGGACATTTCCATGTAATAACCTACCAGCTCTCAAATAACAAATGTTCAGAAATCAGGCAAGGCATTGCTTGGACTAAAAACATAAGCAATATTATGTAATGGTTATAAGCTGAAAGAGGGTAGATGTAGTTTACATATCAGGAAGAAACTTTTTACTGTGAGTGTGGTGAGGCACTGGAACAGGTTGCCCAGGGAAGTTGTGGATGCTCCATCCCTGGAGGTGTTCAAGGCCAGGCTGGATGAGGCTTTGAGCAACCTGGTCTAGTGGGAGGTGTCCCTGCCCATGGCAGGGGGGCTGGAACTTGATGATCTTTACGGTCCTTTCCAACCCAAACCATTCTATGACTCTATGATTCTATATATTCAAATATATCCAAAGTAATTTAGTGAATTATCTGTTCTGTGTACACTTTGACAGCAATGCAGTGTAGTCTGTAGCTACATATTTCATAAACTTGTGACTCTTTTAATTAATTTCACATAGAACTGAACAGAAATCTGCTACTTTGAAATGTGTGAGTCCAATGGAAAATAAGTGATAGATACATTTCTCTGAAAGGAAAGCCATGGTGGAATGAGGATTTTAAATCAATTGAAATATTTATTTTTTTCTAACAGCTTAAACATTTTTTTGGAAGAGCTGAAAAATGAAAGTGGCTCCATTTCAGGGAAAAAGAACTGAATGGAACTTTTAAATTAATCTAAAAAAGTGTATGCAGAGGTAAAATGGTAGTAGTATGTGCATCATCTTTTCTAATAACAGTAAGAATTTTCATATGAATAATCATATTGTTCCAATCTCTAATGAAATATATTTTCCTTGTAAACTTTTTTCCTAGTAGTATGCCGGTAAGATAAAAGTGATTTCACAACAGATGTGCTATGAAATTTGTTGTATTCCCAGTTTTGTTTTTGATGACATGACATTTTCTAGCAGGAAAATGATGCATCAGAACAAACTAGGTTAGCTTCCATTATATATTTTAATCTTGGTTTTGATCTCCTGCTTTCCATTGGGCTCTCAGTGTGAACAGAAGCCAGAAACCCTTAAACTTGTGTTTTGTTTTGTTTTCCAGAGGATTTTTGATCATTTACAACATGTCACAATTTTTTATACTGTCCATCTCTCTATTGCCATGGTACAGTGGTCAATGGTTGCACCTCCTGAATATTCATGTACCTTTTTGCATAACTGAATTTTACTGTATCAATGTAGAAAATGCACACTTCTATTGCTTGTGGGTTATTTATACAGTGCTGTGCAAAATCTCCCAAACAAAATGTGTAGTATGTTAATTTCTGCATGAGAGACAATTGAGGCTTTGCCGTTTTAGTGCTTGATTCAAAGCCAATGGTCAAGCAGCTGAAGATTACAAACCCATACTGTCTGACAAACCCATGGTCTTTCTAAAGCCTACACAATGGAGAAACAATCTGGTGTATCTAAGGTCTGCTTAGATTTAGAAGTTCTTTATGAAAATAAGATTAAAGTAGATTAATTTCGCCAAATGTTAGAGATACAAAAATTAGGTGACTGCTGTAAACTAACTTAGGAAGTAACACTTCTGGATGGGTGTTTTATTTAATTTGTTATTCACAGCCATCTTAAAATGAGATGAGTCATGCACTGACATGCCCTTCCCTCTCCACACACACAACAGGGAAAACTAAGCTTTGATTAGAGACCTAATCTTAGGTGGATAAAACCAGTAGAGATAAAATCCACGTATAAGAATTTAAGATTTGGCTTCTCTGCCCAGAAACTTATTCTTCAGGTTTTAGGAAGTAGGTAGCAGGAGGAATAGAGACAGAAAGAAGGAGGACTAAACGAGTGCCATACTCTTCCTAGTCATGATTCGTGGTTACCTTGTTGAGTTAGCCTCCTTTTACATGCTGGTAAGCAACCAAATGAAAGCTCAAAATGCTTTACCATACCTGATTGTGGACTTTGTTTGGGAATTTTGGCTGCTGCTTCAGGGCTGGAGGTGGCACGCACACGCTGATTGGCAGAGTTATGGATGCTACTTGGAACAGCTGCTGAGATATTTTTGCGAGGTTTCATGTCTTGCAACCACATTGGAGATGCCTCAAAAGCTTGCATTCGCCGAGAGTGGCTGTTAGCATTGACTTTGAGAAATGCCTGGGCCTTGTATTCCTGAAGGTCTCCATAGTTGGCATCGGTCACCCTGCACTCATACAAGCCTTCGTCCTTTTTCCTCACTTTTGAAATCTGCAGCTTGTGGGAGATGTCATTTCCTTGTACTTTCACTGTCTGGAAATTTCCCAGGGAAAAAAAAAAAAAAAAAAAGAAAAAAAAAGAAAATAAAAATGTTGTGAGGTAATCTTCTTTCTCTGGGAAGACTCTACCAGTGTAGAGCCTGTCCAGAGAAGTCAAGTGCCAAATTAATCAGTGGTGTGACTGTGCTTACTGAAGGGAAGTTGCATCAGGGCTGAATTATTTGTATTTATGAGGATGTCTGACATCTTCTTTCCAAAACAGTTTAGATGGTTTGTTTTGAAATGCTAATTTGCCTCAGACAAACATTCCAAACTACCATGCTCATTCCAATTAATTGCTTAAGATCATGAACATTCTTAATGAGCTTTCTTACATAAACCTAATATCTGTACACTTCATTGGTTAAACCTTTCCAGTTAGTTGGCTTTATTGAATAATTCAGTTTTTGAACTAGCGTATTGATGATTTTGTTGGAGATGTTTGCCAATATGTAAACTTCTTTAATAACAATTTATTAGATTATCTTGTAGTTTTCACTACACTGAAACTGCATATTTGACATTCAATTTGTCTCCTTCAGACGTGTTCAAACCTTTGTTATTTTTTTGTTTATTAACCATAACAACACATCTTGTGTCAGGTAGTTCCTTTTGTCTTGTTTGTGTAAGTGTGTACTTATTAGAAGTCATCTATCATTTCTGCAGCACGTATTCAAGTAGCATGTATTCAAGATAGCTTTAAAAGATGTCAGCTAAAATAAGACTCCTGATTTATTTTTAATTGCTTTTAATATCTGAGGGTAACATAACATATTTTTCTCTCACATAATTAAAACACACATGAGTAAATGATGCATCCCAAACTGTGTGATAGGTATTAAGATGCATTAGGAAAGGTAACACAAATTCCTTTCTGTATGTTCATCACTTTAGAGAATTTCTTTTTAATTGGCTATTACTCTCTGTCTGGATTAGTACCTGTTGCCCCACAGGAAGCCAGTTAAAAGGGATTCAGTGGGACAGAAAACTTCAGCTTTGAAGAACTCTTGAACCTGGTTTACTTCTACTATTACAGAAACACGGATGCAATTGTTGCTTTGTGTTGTATCAATGTCAGGCAATGAGGAAACATCAGGATGATGAATTTATGGTAGATCACAAAAATGGAGAACTGTTAGATTGAAAGTGGGCACGTGTTACTGGTGATTACACAACACACTGCTTCTGATAGTTTGGCATGCTGTAGTCACCAGTGTTGGCAAAGCACCTGTTTTGCCTGCTTGATAAATTGAAGAGCAACACTTGTGAATACATTATTGCTTTCAGGTACTGGATGGACTTTACAGCCTGTTGTGTTGCACCCAGCTCTGAATTTATGCTTGGCAAACTGAATTGAAAGTATGGATTGAATACTTTCAGGCGTAACATATGCAATACTAATTACACAGAAAATGCTGGATAGTTATTTAAACCATATTTAATAATAGTATATCTCTACTGAACAGCTCATATTCAGTAAAAGGATTAAATACATTTCATATGAATGGAAAGAGGATCTGTAGGTCATATTTTACCTTCATTTGCTCCCATGCAGTATTTGCAAAGCTAACAGTGTTGCATAGCACTAATGAAAAACAGAATTTGCTTTGGGTTTTGCATTTGAAACTTAGAAATTGTTGCAGTCAGCATGTATGCATGTTTTCCACTTATGCCTGATTATCGTTTAAAATGTTTATTATGTTTTACGTTTTCTTTAAAGAATTTACTAAATGCACCTAAAAAGGTTGCCCTCCTCTTCATGAAGATACTTTCCAGTAGTACTAAGGGAGACTGTGTGTGCCTTCAAGAAAGAAAAAAAGGAAGGCTACATTTGTAACAAGTATATTTAGACTGTCAACCTAATGTTGACTTTTTAATTGCAAATATAAAAGGTTTTATGCAAGCTTGTAAAAACACTGTATAAACACCCCATCGTGAATTATTACCATGAGATAAAGAGATTTTTAACTTGAAAGATGGGACAAGCTCTACAGCCTATGCCATGTCACGGATCTTATGGATAATTATGGGGATTTTGAATGAGCCTGTATTGATTGGGAATAAATCAGCTGCTATCACTATGTCTAGTGGAATAGTATCCAAAGACCATATGTGGGCCTCATTTGAAAGCAAGTCTACACATGTAACTGAAGATATGGTCCACGACACAAATAATTTACAGTGCGTGGTGAGAAATATCATAGGAAATGTAAGTATGGCTAGAACATTTATCATTTTGAATATGTATCTGAATTCTCACTTATAAATGCCCTTCACCTATATCTAGCTGCACTTTGACCTGAGGTAATTACTTGGTTAGTTATTTGTAGGCATCAAAGAGCAGAGGAGTAAAGGATTGAGCAGAGGAGTAAAGGATTGAGCAGAGGGGTAAAGGATTGAACAGAAATGATTCACCTCTTTCTGTTGCTGTTTTAAGCTTTGCTGGTACTTGCAGCCCTGGCTGCAGCTAAAAGGCACTTCCAAAGGGATTGTGTCTGAGAAAGAGAAAACCCCTTTGGGCTAATAAGGAATACTCATGCTGCAGTATCTGCTAAGTATCCATGTTCTTCCTCTGCAGTGAGCACCACACCACAACCACACCACCATGCATTTCTTGGGACACTGAGGAAGGAGGGTCTGAACTCTTCTTAGGTCAAGGGCTATGGCTGTGCCTTAGGATACGGGGTTGCTGAGGAAGGCATCCTTTCCCTAGACAAGGGTTGGAGCAACATTGCTCGTGATTTTGTTGAGAGAACATTCTGGTTTAATCTCCAAACGACAGATTGGTAACTGGCGTCAGAACCCCACTTTCCTAAGAAAGCTCCTCAGTGGCCAAGACTGGATATTACTCCCAAGAGTCTTATCCAAAGGCTTTCTGACCTTTTTTTCTGCCAGTGGATATGAACCTGGGAAAGCCTCTATTTAAATGGTTGCACACTCCACTGAGGGAAAGTGCAGCTTCACACACAAATTTCAGCCTTAAAACCATCTTTGGAGTGCTGAGGCAGGCTCAGCAATTGCCCAGGGTAAATAAAAACAAGAGGTAGAAGGACGGGTGCAGGCTGTCTGCCACACGGGCTGGAAACAGTCTGCCCCAGGTCTACGACCTGGGAGGCCGATGTCTTCGTGCCCAGGGGTCCCCGGGGGTGTGGTCTGCGTGGCGCCGGACT